CACCCCCTCCCTAATGATTGTAAGCCGCCCTGAGTCCCCTCAGGGAAAAGGGCGGCCTATAAATCCAAATAAAATACCAAAAAAAATACCAAAAATAAATAAAGTCCCATTTCTGAACTGAAGAAATGAGTGGATTTTGTAATATTTTGAATCATTTCTGAAATACATCACTGTTCTAACATAGCAGAATTGAAATATGTAGACTTAGGTGCCTACAATTAAAAATCTCTTTGTTGTAAATGCAACAAACAACGTTAAAGCATGTAATAAATCCACGAAGAGCCACAAGGCCATTCGTCAGTTCCATTGTTGTGTTAGTTGCTGTGGTCATCAGAGGGTGCTGCAAACACAATTCTTATAAATGTCTGGAAGGGAGAATACTTTATAGTTTGTTACTGACATCTATTTTGGAGCGCTCCTACTGGATTATTTATATATTAGACATGGATTAAATTGGTTAAATCTGTACAAGAGGCAATAATGCACCAATAAAGCAGATTGTGTGCAATGTGGCTTTCCAATCAAAAGCCCAAATGTGCCATTTTATGACCGGAAGCTAGCAAAAATGCAGAGCCCAGTTAAATGAATCCCCTTAAAAGGAGTAGTCTTTCCCCAAGGGAGAAAATGTTGGCACAAATACTTTGCTTGGGTATACCCAAGGGGTGCAAAGAGAAGTGTTGTAAAGAAAGAACAGCTGTTGTTAATATCCTTTAACATGAACAACAGGAAAGTAAATCTGGAAATAAGCTGCCTTTTGCTAGCAATTATCTAATTAGGATGTCATACCTACCTCCATGCATATTGTACATTTTAAATTCAAGACCCCCTGCTTTAGGTTTCTCCCTTTACTGTCAACCTATCCGCTATCTTTTCCTTTAATATTGATGAGAGGATCTACGATTGTTCTTTCCCTGCTCCATAGCTCCAAAGGGGATGGGAATACTGAGTTCTAGGAAGAAGCAGGAAGATATCTTAGATCAGGATGAAAGCCCCATCCCACAATTTTCCTTTTGAAATTCAAGCACCATTCTTTTTCAAAGCAATGGGGGAGGAGACAAAAGAGAGTTCCCTAAAGTCAGATCCCCCCTCATATACACCTGCTTTTTACTCCTGGCCAGTATGCAAGAAACCTGAGGAAGGTAAGTAGCCTGTTTTCATTGCTCTCTGTGACTCTCTCAGACCCTTCAGAGTGTTGTTGCTTTTCAATCACAGCCAGAGCAAAACAATCCTCCCACTTTGACTGGAAGGTGAACAGCCCGAACTTCCTCTTGGAGCGTTTCCACTTTTGTGTGGTCAACGTCCAAAATAACCTAAGAAAGTCCCCCACTGCTACTATATATAACCATACTCCCCATTTGTGTAACAATACTGGTGTCTGAGCTCTCCCTCCTAAAACAAACACACAGCCTTTGAGCAAACGGGAAATCCTGCTGGATCCCTGCTGCAGTCTGGATGCCTGGACAGATAAACATGCAGAGCGATCTTACTGTCTCCTTCCCACAGCACTGCTAGGAAAGCTTCTCTGGGTTGCGTTGCTATCCATCACCACTAGATGTGATCTTGAGCTGCCACAGCCCACATGAATAACTCAATTCTGTTTGGTGGCTTCGTTTAGTTTCTGCTCCATCTTCTTCTAGTGAAAAATCTTGTTTTTCCAGCTTTGACTCTTTTAAAGTGAATGTGTATCCTAAGAAGGGCAATTTGCCATTGAAACATACATATGTACGTGTATACCCAGACTTAAAAGTAGAACAAACCCCATGCAAGTCAAATATTTACAGTTTGTTACCAAACTACACATTTACTTTTAACTTGCAGACAGCAGGGGGCACTATTAAAACAAAGCTAGTTGCAATTAGTGAAGGCTTAACTGAAACAGTAACCCATTAAAATGCCTGTCATTTGCCAATCTTAGATCTAAATAGACTTTAAGATCATTTAATTTATGTGACACAGAGAGAAAAAGACAGCGGTTCACTCAGTGGAGGAAACAAGATCCATTTCAATATTATACCCCTAACGCCATAGTACTAAAAATCATCCTGATCCAAAATGTAATCAGCTCTGCATCAAGACACCTCACAAAGAAGCCACTGGGAGTACTTTTCCACATCTTCCCAAATTATGTCTGCTAAGGGCTCTGGTGAAAATCAGAAAAAGCAGCTGAGAATATGATGCCCGGCAACTAGCCCCACTGCCTGATCTGTGCCAAGTCTGTGTCTACCACCTCACCGTGAGCTCCCACACCGCTCCATCTTAGCCAAGGCTGCATCCTCCAAACAGCCCCTTTCAAGTTTTGTTTTTTGGGCAGCTGTGTTTGTGTTTGCTTGGCCTCTGTGCCTGCCCTTCCCTTCTCTCTGGCCCCTTGTAACTCAGCAGGGTTTGTCTTCAGTGTTTACCCTCCTTGGCACTGCTGTCTGTCCCCTGCAGTCTTGGCTTGCTAATGCTGCAGAGATGAAAAGGGCCATCCACATCCCTCTCTTGTGCGTGCAGACTTCCCTGGGCTCTAAAGAAACGTTTCCGTCTAAGGGTTTGAAACTAAATATTTCCTGTTCAGAAAGGGCCAGGGGTGGGGTGGGGAGAGAAAACATTGACACAGACATCACAAAATCAGTCCTGTGAAATGAAATATCTTCACACATCAGCCCTGGGTAGATCTGTACAACAGGAAAACACACCTAGTATTCTCTCCTCTTAGCCTGTGAACTCAACAGTTTTGTCACCTCCCCAGGAATTACCTCTGGGCATGTTCACACATTTAGGTTGAATAAGGATAGTTGTAAGGTTGTAACCTGATTCAATGGTCTTTTTGTCCTTTTTACTTCGGCTGCCAACCAAAAATCTGGAGATTCCAGAATTCCCCTCACAATAAAATTGTTCCTTGGGAAAGGATAAAAGGAGATATTCTAGCAATGCCCTGTGGCAGTATATGCCAAAAGAATTTGAGTGGTCACAACTACTTTTTTATTTCTATTGTGGGATATGATTTCTGAGAATTTGACATGCAAATGTACTGCAAAAAAAAAGGGTAAAGGGCACCTGAGGCTTATCCATTTTCAAATTAAACTCAGCATTGAAAGAGGGATGAGCAGCACCCCCCCCCCCCCCCCCCCAAAAAAGAGACTCATTTCTGAATTCACTGAAGAGTCAGTTTTCCAGTGTGGAGTAAATTCTCAGCAATGAAGAGTTTGAATAGAAGTATGCTATTTAAAGGCAATGTGTAGCACTAGGCTTAGAACAAATGTGTACTAAAACGGCACTCTTATTTCATGCACATACATAATCAACTTAGACACCACACTATAATGCAAACATTGTACAAAACTCTCTTATTATGATGTCTTGTTCTCGCATAACAATGTTATAATGTGGATTTAATGCAATGTGTTGTTCATTTAGTGTGATATATTCATTAAAGTTTGTTAATCATGTGGATTTTTCTTTGGGAATTAAACCAAAGAAGTAACTACATTATTAATTAACATTATGATTGTGAGTAAGGATGTTGTAAAACTTCTTGTCTGTCTGTCTGTCTGTCTGTCTGTCTAGGGTATGTGTGTGTGTAGCCCTTTCATATATAGTTTTCTTGTATTACTTTTAAATTATTTTCTTTTTTCTATTAGGTTATGTTTCATTACTATTCTCTTTGTTCTGTTTTATTAAATAATGGGGAAAAACACTAAAAAAACACTAAAAACACGTCTCTCTTTTTAAGATGCAAATATTTACCGGGGGGCTTTCCACTTTCTGCCACATCAAGATCTAT